CCTATACCGGATAAATTGCCCGGCACGTGGGCGCCTGGACAATTCGCCGGTCGCAACTTACACTACTACAAATTAAACTTAAACGCGAACCTTTAGATAGCCGGCACGTGGATGCCTGGCTATCCTATTCAACGCGCACCGGTCGTCGCATCACCAGAGAGAGAGTGTAGAGAGAGAAAAGAAAAGAAGGCTTGACCTTTATTCACCGCTCCTGGCAACGTCGTGGATCCTGAGCGATGTGCTGCCGCAGGAAGTACCGGTCGTCGTCCCTGGTTAGATCGTTGCTAGCTGGTGGTGGCTATCGCTGACCAGGTATCCGCAGGCGACGTTGACTCTCCTTGCAGGTGGGGCTAGCTGCGGTCGCAGACAAAGCTGTTGCCGATAGGGTTGACCTTCCTTCCAGCTATCCCAAACTGCACTCTCTGCACTTTAGCAGGACTGGGCTTGGACTCCTGCACTCTAGTAGGACTAGGCTTCGACTCATACACGCACTTATTCTTGCGCTCGTCTTGCCGCCGCTCAGCGGCGCTCGCTCCTCTCCCTACCTTGACCTATTAGTTAGGCGGCACGCGACGCGCCGCTTATCGGTCACGCGTTGCGCGCCTGCCAATCCCTGCATGCGCCTAATACTCTCTCTCGCTCTCTCTCTTTTTCTCACTCTCTCTCCGCGGTCCTCAACTTTTTCTAGCGCTCAACTGCGCTGGCCCGTCCTTGGCGCTGAAACAAAAAGACCAAGTGTTAGGCGCATACTTTAATGCGCCTAACGTTGGCCAACACGCCTTGCCGAGTGGAGGAGGGAGAACGCAGACGAGAGACCGGCACACGGCCTGCTCTCGTCACAACATCATACAATATCTCCTGAGCGATGGTCATGCAACGGTTCTTTTGATCAAAATTAAGCAATTTTGGAACGAATTTCGCTGACACACGTCTCATGTCTAAACATGTCCGAAAGAATATCATAACATGAGCTAACCGACTTGCCAACAACTTCTACAACTTTTCTGATGGTGATTCAACGATTTTTAAATACATTTTCTTTCACTGCTTCAACGATTTCATCTGTTGTTATGTCTGGGACGTCCAGGGAGAGATTCGTCTTCAACATTCTCTCGGCCTTCTTGAAACAGCTTATATTACTTTTACACATTTTTCTTACACAGAGTAGACTCACCGTATACAATTGTCAACATTTTAAGAGCTTTAAAGCACTGGATTCCATTTTTTACACAAAACTAAATGCAAACTCTTTACTTTGTTCATTTCGATAAAAGAAAATCGCCGAGTACACCCAACACTTCTAACCTCTGACGCCTCTGCCAGAAAAACGACACATGCTATATAGTCAAAATTGTGAATATATAATCGTGGCGAATGTACCACCACAACTACAACAAAAATTAAAAACTTTAATGTACCTAGCTCGCGTGAATTGAAAAGTCACCTTACTTTTTGAATATTCCTCGAATATATACCAAGGTGCTCTGCTCCTCTGCGCGTTTTGCACGCTAAGTCGCCGTTTAAAAAATATTACAGAAAACTGATCATCGTCATTATATTATGTATTGGTTGGCAATGGATCCGAATAAACTTTTATTTATTTATTGTTTTTTTTTATTTTGTTTAGCGTCACTCTATTTATGCTCCATCAGTGCTAATCAGCGACAGAGGCTTGCAATGTGTTTGAGAACAAAGCACACGAAACTTTTTTCAGTGGTGCTTGTATCAATCAGCAAGAACTAGGAATCGCTCTAGGGCCTACGAGGTACGAGTCCATCGCCCTATCGACCGAGCGATTCCAGGCCCCAAGCTTTTATTTATTATTTGAGTTCTAAAATTTCAATAAAACAATGCACGTGACAGTTGTGAACGTAAGCTTTTATATTTATTAAGACTAACTAATAAAGAAGAAGTATTCAAATGCATTGTTTGTGAAAAATATTATTAATAAAGACATTGAAATCTTAAAAAATGATTGACGTAAATAATTTATTTAAAAATTAGCAATAGAAAAAAAAGTTATGGAGTTGTAACGGAGCAAGCAGTATGCTTCCTCTTCATCTACCTCTCTCCTTCTCTTCCCTTTTTTTCGACAAAGCATAATGGCCAACGTTGAGCGCATTTTAGAATGCACCTAACATTTGGTCTTTTGTTTTAGCGTTGATGATTGCCGAGCAGCGGCCAAAAAGACTTAGGGCTCTAATAATGGGAGCGAGAAAAAATGAGAGAGAGAGAGAGAGAGAGAGTGCACGCACTATGCAAGTCTAGGCAGGTGTGCAACGCATTACTGATAAGCGTTACGTCGTATGCCGCCTAAAAATAATAGGTCAAGTGGGGATGGAGGTATGCGCGAGCTGAGGACCGAGAGAAGGCCTTTTCCGGCAATTAGTCGTTCACTTCCTTCTCACCGGCCTTTGTAAGAACATCTCAGTTTTTTTTGGAAGAGTGAGTGACTACGAACATTCCGATTGGCAGCATTATAGTTTATAAATAGTCATACATTCGTTTTTGATCTTTTTATAATTAGTATAGGAGATTTATATAGAGGTTATTCATTCATTTTTTGTTAATGGTTGGGAATAAGATTTTGCATTTGATAAACGGTGTATATAATTACTTATGGATCTATTTCCTATCTTTCCTCTTCGACTGCTGAGAGCGAAAGCGCTACTCTTATTTCCCTTAAAAAATTGGTAGCAAAAACGCCATGATGACACAATTCTGTTACAGAGTAAAAAAGGCCAATAAAGAACAGAAAGGGACAAAGATGAGCGTGCCTAAAGGAAATACAGAGGCTTATCCCTATTTATACAGTGCCGGTCAGCCACTTTTACCCCCCCACGGGCAAAATCAGTCTAACTTCAAAGTTTTATATCTCTGGTAGAAATTAACGTACAGAGACGCGCGTGGGTGCGTTTGAAAGGTCTTTCGGAAAGCTTTCAAATGATATGACTCACGGTTGCCATCGATTGTTTTTTTAAATTTTGCAACAATTATGCAAAATTGAAAATTCTGAAATTTTTTTATTATTTTTGACAATTAACCAATTTTGGAAAAAAAATCGTACGAAAATTTGAAGTACACCATTTTTTAGCTATTACCAAGCCCTATTTGAATCACTCATCAAAAATTTATTTTCGTCAAATATGTCGCGCGCACGGGCATTTTTTCCTGGAAGTGACAGTTTTTTTCAACATTTTTTATCTCCGTCAAATTGTAACAATCGAAAAAAATTTATAGGAGAAAAAATGTTTGTTTTTTCACGTAGAATACTGCAATAATTTTTTTTTCGGTTTTTCGAAAAATTTTTTTTTTCGGTTTAAATTATTTTTCAAGGTCGAAAAAAAAAAGATTTTTTTTTTGATGTAATTTACGATACTTGTTATGTAGTATTATTGAATGGGTGGAAAAAAATTTTTTTTTGTGGTTTCTCATCTTTTTAGCGTACCGACTGTGAGAAAAAAAAATTGAAAAAAACCGAAAAAAAAAACTTTTCGAAAAACCGAAAAAAAAATTATTGCAGTATTCTACGTGAAAAAACAAACATTTTTTCTCCTATAAATTTTTTTCGATTGTTACAATTTGACGGAGATAAAAAATGTTGAAAAAAACTGTCACTTCCAGGAAAAAATGCCCGTGCGCGCGTCATATTTGACGAAAATAAATTTTTGGTGAGTGATTCAGATAGGGCTTGGTAATAGCTAAAAAATGGTGTACTTCAAATTTTCGTACGATTTTTTTTCCAAAATTGGCTAATTGTCAAAAATAATAAAAAAATTTCAGAATTTTCAATTTTGCATAATTGTTGCAAAATTTAAAAAAACAATCGATGGCAACCGTGAGTCATATCATTTGAAAGCTCTCCGAAAGACCTTTCAAACGCACCCACGCGCGTCTCTGTACGTTAATTTCTACCAGAGATATAAAACTTTGAAGTTAGACTGATTTTGCCCGTGGGGGGGTAAAAGTGGCTGACCGGCACTGTATGCATAAAGAGAGAGAGAGAGAGAGAGTGAGAGAGAGGAGATGAACACTAACTAGATAGGATTATACTCTATGATTTCATTAAGAAATCCATTGATGTATTCATGTATTCAGCTATTTTTTTAGTTAATTACAATTTATTGTAGTGCTCAGGCCTATATATCAAAAGTCCTGTATTGAAGCCTTAGACTTGAATTGCCAAATATGAACAATAGCGCTCGATGGGCATTTTATGAGTATAGAATTGCGGAGACGCGATAGAGGAGAAATGCTTCCTCTTTCTCCGTCTCTCGTTTCTTTCCGTCTCTTGTCTCTCTCCGTTTTCGACCTAATAACTCTCTTTAATTTTTGGATTTGCTATGAAATCAAAAATTTGCTATCTCTCTGTCTGTCTGTCTCTCTCTCTTTTCGAGAGTCATTATGAAAATAATCATATGAAAAGGGAAATCATATTTTATTGCGGTGTATTTTACAGTGTGGAGAGCATACTGATTAGCTGGTTGGTTGGTGACGTTTATTGTCGCGCCAATACTATTTTCGCTATTGGACTGTTAGGGAGTCCGGATGTTTTTCGGGAGGTGCTCCTTTTTGAGAACAAGAAAAAAAGAAGATTGTCAGAGACAAAATATGAGAGAAAGCGTACACGTTACAAAGTCAGAAGCAAATAGTATTATCAGCTGGCGTTTATAATGAAAAAAGCGAAGTGAATAAACTTTTGTTTCTCCGAAATAGTTTCTAGAGAAATTAATTAAAAAATCTAAAAATTCCCATCAATCTCTCTCGACTTATGTGGTGTACGTGGCTGTGAGGTGTACTTCAAGTGCACTTTATGCGATCGACAAAATTAAGAAAAAGTCGGATAAGAGTTCCCTGTCACCAGAGGAACGAAAAGACAGGACGTAACATCGCTACTTTAAATTTTGCAAGAGAACACATAAGTTTATTTTTTACAGTACCTTCAAAAAATTATGAATTTCAATTTTATATCACATAATTTATAAAAAAATGAATCATACTTGTGGATCTTCTACGCGGGATAGACATCCAGCTCTTTGTTTAACATCTAAAACACAATTGTCTTCAAGAATCTTTGTGAGCTGGTCGAAATTACGTCCTTTTTCAAAAATTATCCTCCAATATCTATCGTCGTCGACTTCAATTTTATTCAACCGATCTAATTGAGGTAGAAGACAAGGTGCTTTTAAAATAATCTTCTGTCCTTCCTTTTGAGATATTGATTCAAAAGTCAATCGCACATTTACATAACAAAACTGTTTCGTATCAATATCTTTTGGTAACAGTAATCTAGGTTGCGTAGCTAAGACATAAAAGTGTCTTAGTGCTTGTAGATGGTACCTTGAAACACAGATAATGTTTTGTTATAGAGAAATGACAGTCATTTGTCAATTCTTTTTTTGTTGTCATTTTTATTATATGTAACATAAGAATAATTTCAAGTACATCTTTCATTTTTGGTGCTTAAGCACTATATCAAAGAAGAAATATAAACATGATTAATATCAAATTCAAAATATTAGTACAAGGTTATATAATAGTCAATATTGATATTTTAAATTTAAAGATTACATAATATATAAGAAAGAAACGCAATAGGCAATCTGAATGGAGGAAAAATTTTTCTAAGAAAATTTTATGTATTTTGGACGCAAAAACCATATCTGACCACCATTACCTTCCATCATATCACATGCAAGAGTATTTAAAGGGCACATTTCCAAGTTTCGTACAGTGAGTAGTGTGGGTAGCATAGCGTAATCAAACATTACCACCAATACTCTGGGCGCCAATAGGTTGGCATAGCCCACTGTCTTTCACTCCTTCGCTTTCAAACACTTTGGCGATCCGGAATTCAAGTTTACTACGACATCCCTGACGCACACAGCGAGTCGGAGCCTTTTTGATCTAAGGCGGCGACCTCCTCGAAAGGAGTACCGATCTTTTCACTGTTTGACGCTCAAGGAGAGCGGAACTAAAGGCTTGACCCTCGGCTCGGGCGAGGGTCTACCGCGTCGGAAGCACGCGGCATACAAATCTTACGAGATTTGCTTGACCTGGTACCACTACCCCGCAGAGGCCAACCCAAATTGGGATGTCAGAAGGGAGACTCAGCTAGGACAGCGAGAGGAAATTCCTAAGACGATCAACCAGCTAAGCCTCCCCTCCTGGGCTCTCGTTCAAAACATCCCACCCTGTGTACCTGTATTAAGGGATTGCTCCCACGACTCACAGGTCCATCGTTTCGACGTGCCATGGCGCGCCTCCCCATTGCGTTTCGGTCATACCCGCTCACGCTGGTGGGTATCCGTTATTCGAAAGGAAAGTTGTACCCCGATTTTCGCCTAAGTCTTGGATTTCGCTTTCTATGGAAGGCTTTTATGACTCGCTGATATTGATCTCTGCTCTTTCGATTGATATTTCCTGACTTAGGTCAGAGGCGGGGTCTCGCCTAGCCGACAAGGCGACTCCCCAGGCAGTTTTCAATATTCGTGCCAGTCATGCCACTCATTCGAATCAATTTCCAATATTAGGCTAAATCGGGTATTCTAATTCGCGTTCAAAACATCGAACCTCGGAGTTTAATTCAGATGGTCGATGCTCAAAAAAGGATAAGCGTTGTGTGTTTTGCCTATTGTTTCTTTACAGAGACAGCGTTTTCAGCTCCATCACGTGAAGGTACACACATCCGCACTTGTGATTGCAAGTCTTCGTTCAAATATACATTGCATTCACTTCGGGTCGACTAGCATTAGTTGCTTGTCGAGGGTAATCGGTGACGCATTTTGTACTTCAGCATTTGCATTTGCATATGCCCGTACAGAAAAGAGAAGTTTACGACGTTTTCTCTCAAAACAACGAATTGTTTGTTTGAGAAGTCTCCGTTCTCTGTTGAGGAAGACAATTACTGTCCGCCGCTTTGACAAAAGATTTTTGCACAAAGTGACCTGGCCAGCCTTGCGGCTGGCCATATGGTGCACCATGTGCATCGTCTATGCTTTTGACTCACAACGCGGCAACGCGGAGCCGTCGGAAATGCGTATTCGCGTAACCGACGGTAGGATCACGAATGAGGAGCCGCTGAGAACAAATGTAAGATTAGCGCTGAACTGGTTGACGTCGATGGGCCTCGCGCGACCGGAGAGCCTTGCCGACGGAAAAACAGAGGCAGTGCAGATGCGCATAGGGCAGCGGCCGACCAGCTTTCATGGGCAGGGACCGTCAATATGGCCGCGTGCGGTCAGTCTAATTTGGCCAGTGCGAGAAGCATTGCCGGTGCCCATAGTATTTACAAGGAAGGGCAGGCTGACGGCGGAGTAATTTCTCAAGCGACTACACGAGGTGCCATCGTTTTATAGGTTTTGCGACGCTAGGTCATCGTTTTATAGGTTTTGAGATGTTGACGGCGTTAATGATCGCATTTACAAGTTTGGAAATGATGCTGTGGTGGAAAATAAAGCGTCCGAGTTGGAGAACGCTGCGCGAATTTGAGAATGAGTTCCGACGACAGTTTTGCCCGTGACGCTCGCGCGAGTATATCTACGACGCTCTGCGCGGCTGTACACAAGGCGAGGGCGAGCCGTTGGGCCAGTACCTTACGGCTTTCCTTTATATCGCGTGTAGGTTGGAGCTGAGACTCTCGGAGCGACGACACCTCGAACTGTTCAATGATTTGTATCGACCAACGCCGCAAGAATCGTTGATGCCGGAGGTTGCGTACCGAGGAGGCGCGGCGAACGAAACCGCGAAACCGGGGACCAGAAATGCGAACTTTGCGGTAAGGAAGTCTGTCGCGTCTGTCCAGTCTGCGAGTGGGAAAGGCCAGCGCGGCAAGACGATGAAGCTAGCGGCGAAGTCTGAAAGTGACAACCGAAACCTGAGCAAAGAAAGTTCATCGCAATAAGACTCGGTGAGTTCACCGGAGATGTTGCCGAGGGATGTAGTGGCTGCGTTGTCGCAGTTATTGCAGACTCAAAGCGGGGCGTCATCGGGAGGCACGGTTCCAGCAGCGAGTTACGCGATTGGCCGCGCTGCATTCTATAAAATTAGGCCAGGGCGTATGCTATAAATGCGGGGGGTGCGGGTACCGTAAAACTGAGTGCGCGAGCTCGCAGGACGCGCAGATTCCGTAGGGAAGTGCGGGCACGCCAACAGCCGCTAACGCAAACGGTCGCGAGGGTGCTAACCAAGCTGCGAGGCGCGGCGAAGGTAAGAGCCCAGTTCGCTGCTATAAATGCAAGCAACTTGGCCACTATGCGAACAAGTGTACGCTAGAAGCGCGGGCTTTGCAAAAATGCCAGAGTTGCAGTGCGGAAAGTGGAATCCTGGAAATATGTCCAGAATGCCGAGGATGGATCAGAGCGATGGGAAACTCCAACGCGGGTTCCGGGCGCCCGACGGGCTCCGCGTAGCGTCGCATGGCAGGGCACTTTATCCCGGTGAGCTCGCGTTCAATAGACTGTATGAGAGTGGACTCGTGGAGCACCGCAGACTGATTGAAATGCGACGAGTAGAGTAGCTTGAAGGCACAAGTGCGAGCGATGCGCGGCCAAGTGCTCCAGAATATCGTGAGCATACGGGACGCGAAACGGAGAATTTGAGGAAGAAATTCGACTGGATTGAATTCAATGAGCAATGGCTGAGGTTGCATGAGGCCGACTCGGAGCGGAGAATGAGGGACAGGCCGCGCAAACGCTAAAAACAAACCGGGGGAATATCCAAGGGTGTTCGGCGAACGGGCGTGGGTCGATTGGGGAGAATTCGACGGGAGCGCCAGTACCGGACAGGAGTATTAGAGACCCGGGTGAAACCGTGGAGATTATGCGGTCTTTGAGCAGCTCGGGGGGAAAGTGCGGCGCGTGCACTACAGGCTCCAGAGCAAGCTCAGACCGCGAGACAGGGGCAGCGCGACATGAGACAAGAGATAGACGACTCTGCTGGCGTAGACGAGACGTCGTCGCAATCTGTCACCTCGTCGAGCGAATTCATGGTGCTGAGCGGCAAGGTTACGGTTAGAGCGTCTTTGCTGGGAGCGATAAGCGACTTGGAGAGTGAGCTGATGCGTGAGGAATCGGTGAGAAACGTACATACTAGAGATGGTAAGAAAGTCTCACGTCTATGTGTACCCGTGCGCATAGGCGAACCGAAGGCGGATGCAGTAGAGAACCGCGCGCTTTTGGTAGTGCATATCGCAGGGAGATCGTACAGTGTACTTTACGATTCGGGAGCGATGTTGAACATTGTAGGGTCGTGCGTACGCCGAGAGTTTGTGGACCACATTGATCCATATTATGTGGCGTTGTTCGGTTTTGCTGAAGCGAAAACGAAAATCGTGGGAAGACTTCGCCTTAAAGTTGAAATTGATGGAGTAGTGCGCGAAGTAATAACGCAAATCGTGGATGCGCTGATGTAGTATGATATGATAGTCGGGATAGATATTATCGAAGTGTTTGGCATCGGCACAGAGCATGCGGAAGGACATTAGCACATAAGGAACGGCCCTTAGCACTCGTTTGCGAAGTTAAAATGCGAGAAAGTGGAATTTCCGAGCGACTCGGGATTCACGCGAGCTCGCCTCAGAGCCTAGGTCGCTGGACTTTTCGAACTGCGACCTTGGCAGCGCGAATTGATTAATCAATTGATGCGACGGGTAATGCCCGAGAAATCACCGGCATGCACGCATTTGATTCGGCATGAAATAGATGTGAAGGGTTCGCGGCCAGTGAATACTCCTCTGAGGCGATATTCGCCGCAAATGATGGATTTCATGCGCAGCGAAACGAAGAGATGGTTGGAATCCGGGTTGATTCGTAAGTCGACAAGTGATTGGAGCAGTGCGCCAGTGATCGTGAAGAAGCAGGACGGCACAAATCGAATGTGTATTGATCTGAGACCGGTAAATAAGGCGACAAAAGCCGATGCATCCCCGATACCGAGTATTGACGCGATTCTTGATCATCTGCCTGGAGCGCGGTTCATCTCGAAGATCGAATTGAAAAATGCATATTTACAGGTACCGTTGAGCGAGGAAAGTAAGAAGTATAAGACGTTCGCGGTTCCAGGGATGGGCCTGTTTGAATGCAATTATATGATTTTTGGGTTGATCAACGCGCCGGCAACATTCATGCGTTTGATGGATGTGCTTTTTGGTCCGGAATTTGAGCCGTTCGTGTTAAAATATCTCGATGAAATTATAGTCGTAACGGAGACTTTTAGCGACCATCTGGTGTGGCTTGAGCGGACATTGGAAAAATTGGTTAATGCGGGACTCGAAGTACATATAGGGAAATGCGAATTCGGATGCTCGGAGGTGACATTTTTGGGATACCAACGCAGACCGG